CTATGCTAGTATTGTGATTTTATAAATTATTTGTGTGTTTTAAATATACTTTGCTATAATTAAAAATAGAAATTGCCTAAAAGTTTTTTTTAAATTTAAAATATTTTTCTAAATAATAGGGACTGGAAAGAAATGTCGCTTTTTTACATTAAATTCAAATGAATAAATTGTAACAAGTTTTTATTTTTAATCAATAATATAATCACCCTCGTTATCAGCAACCTTTTGCCGTATAGTATGCAGATTTCAATCCCAGAACAATAAAAATCAATTGGTTTTTGAGTAAAATATCTCAAGATGGCATTTTGGACATCATCCTAATTTTCAAATTTTTTGTTACTAAGAAAATGATGTAGGGATTAGAATAAATGGAAATCCGAGGGTGCGATATTGGGCAAATATGGTGGGTGAGGCAGTACCTCCTACTCCAATTCATTATATTTTTCCAGTGTTTGTTTTGCACAGTGCGGTCTTGCATTGTCGTGTTGCAGAATGACGCCTTTTCCGTTGACAATCGCCGGATTTCGATTAAAGATTGGTTCACTAGATCCAATTGTTCACAATGAAGGTCTACATTAACAGTTTTTCCAGGTTTCAGCAATTCAAAATGAACGATTCTGTGAATACTCCACCAAACACTCAGAAGCGCCTTTTCGTGATGTAAACCCTTTTAACCCCTATTAAAACTGCCTTTTTGAGTTTCGGATTATCATATAGGACTTATTTTTTTGTCTCCACTAATCAGACGATCAGAAAACGATTCTGTATGATGCCGTTGAAGCAATACGTTGCATATGATGGATAGGTTGGCTTTGTTCTTTTCAGACGGATTATGGGGGACTTTGCTTATTTTTCCATTCTGCTTTAAATGTTCTTGGATGGTCGAACAAGGTTGGTTAAGAGTGTTTGACATGGATTTGCTTCCACTTCTGCCTTTAGCATGTTGTTGTCGACATGCACAGAAACGACATTACTTTCTGATCCCCCTATTATTTTGGGACGAAATACGAATAAAATAAATATGATTGGGAAACAAAAGATTCATACTAAAGCCATAAAGACAAAGCCCCTTAATATAAAAAATCACAAATTTCATGTTTCATGTGCCTGATGAAAAGAGACTAAATAACACTGGACTGAACATATACCAGTAAAATGTAGAGCCAGGCAGTGTACATTTTGTAGCACAAGGGAGAAACCTAATAGAACAAGGTACATGTGCGAAACGTGCAGTGTAGGTCTATGCCTGTACCAAAAAGATTGAACAGTGCCACAAAAATTTTTTTCTTTGATATTTAAAAAAAAAGATTTTTTTTTTTAAATTCTTGCAGTACTGAGTTTTTTATCCATTTATCCGAACGTCTTTATTAAGTACATTCTTATGTTTTCACTGCTATAGAAAAATTACATTAATTTCTATTTTTTAATTTTTTTCTGGTGATTTACTTTGTAAAATAATGTAAAAAAATTACATATAATACAATTCTTACAAACATTTCTTTTTAAATTCTGAAATTTCGTCGTCTATTGAAAATGTGCACAGAAAAATGTAAGTTTTCCCCCCTACTACATCAGTAAGTTTCAAAGTCCTAGATGCGCACTGGTTTCACAGTGCGGCCACCACCCACAGATCAGTGGGCAAGAGTAATTTTTTTAAATTCATATATTATTTGTCTCTAGGATCATAATATTAAATTTCTAGAGTTTTTAGTAAAAAAATTATGAAAATAATATCGCGTGCATCAAAGAGTTAAGCATTTTTAAATGTATGAGTGAGTATGTGAATTTATGTTTATACATCCATGTATGTATATGTTCCACAAAGGCATGTATTCTATTTTTAATACTTCTGTTTTGACCTGAAACCCCAAATGAAAGTTTAGCTGTGGTATAAAGTATCAAAAATACTTTGGACTAACTTTGGGAAATTTTAAATTTTTGCTTTGCAGAGGTTGCACAATTGAGGTTTTGCTACATTTCTCAGTGTGTAAAGTGTTATTGGTGTTATTAAATTATCAACAGTGAGATATTTTTGTTTCACTGTGCTTACATGATTCATGTAATATACTTTTTCAGCTCTTTTGATTTATATGATTTCAACTAGGACATTGCAGGTCTGTTTCATGAGCTTTTTGTTAGTCTACCAGTCTGAAATGAATCTCTCTATAGTCAGTAGTTCATGTTTCTTGTTGTTCAGGATGTTAAGAACAATTTTTCCCAAGATTAATATTTTGTATATCTGATAAATTTAAAGAATTTTGTAAGTTTTAAAGAAATTTGTAATTAGATTCCCACTAATTACCACCCACTCTGTCCATAAGTGCGAAAATTTGCTAAGCACTGGTAGTTTGTTTCAGATTTGGATCGTGGTTAGTAAGCTGAGTTGTATGGATATTTTCATTCCTTTTCCAGGTATGAACTTGAATGTGTGCCATGAATAATGTGAAGGAATATATATGCTACTATCTCTTACAGTGTCCTCTGCAAAAGCGTCCTTTCCCTTAGGCAGGTAGCTGTTGCAGGCATTATCAATCTGTTCAGCAAACATTGGTAACTGAAAACTGTTGTTGAATGGGTGTTTGAATACATTAGTGTATCTGACTAGAGTTTTGTGTATATTATGCTTTTTACTGCTGAGTGAGTTTGGATTGGTTTATTTGACTATTACAAAGCATGCAAGAGCTGTCTGCCTAAAGGGAGGGAGGGCTTTCTAATGAAAAGTGGTTCATATCAATGTTACACATGGAGAAAATCATGAAGCCAGCCCATTCTGTTTCATGATATTAAAATAACGTATCATAACTAATTGCTGAACACTGAACCTGGGATCCAATCTCAGCAAACTGGCTGGCTGCATGTTGATTTTTCTGGTTTTCCCAAATATGTAATGTGTATACGAACCAATTTCTCTTAAAAAGTCCACCATGAAGCCATCCTTCCCAATAAGAAAATAGCCCTTGAATTGCTTTGCCTTAATCAGTTTAACCAAAACGTTTGATCAGGTTATCAGAAATCCTCCCTGATTTTCTTTCCCTTTTTTATTATTTTTTCAAACTCTTAAGATGCTAGTAAAGTTACTGAGTCACTTCCTTAGCATTATTGGCTTCCTTGAGGCTGCCTCTATAAATGCTGTTCAATAGAAAACAACTGAGAGAGCATATTTAAATTGAAGAAGTATAATTTCCTAAAACCTTTTTTTTTATTATTATTCTACCCTTGACTTTCGTTTTTCTGCCTTAGTCTTCATCTAGCAGTGCAATAAAGTCTTGAAAAATAGCATCTGTAAATGTACTTTTGTCCAGAGTGTCATTAAGTAAAGATCTCATTCTTGTTATAAGGCAGTTGTAGAGGTGGCTGTTAGTAATGTCGGCTGGGTTGCATGCTTCAGCACATTGCTGACTTTACTAGATCCAAACAATAGAGATTTTTTGCTCATGCAGTCTGATGCTGGATTTAAATTTTTAACTTAAAAGGTGAATATGTTGCATGCAAAGAGGTAAGCTACTTGACTGACATGATCTCTGGACCAGTACTCGATGCCTTTTTAAGTTTATCCATTAACGAATTAGACTAAAATAATTACTACATTTTCTCGGTGTACATTTTACATAAAAAAATTGGGAGTGCAGCTTTTATATGTGAATGATAAAAAGTAGGTATACATAAACATACAGCAAGGCAGTAGTCTGTATTTAAGAAGTGAAAAATCCATTGTTGTTGAATGAATTATACACTGGATTATACTAATTGAGATTGGACAAGTACAGGAAAACATGACCTTAAACACCAAAAAGAAAAATCAAATCTCTAAGTGTCCAGCATGTGTGTGAAAAGATTATGGCAGCCTGGGAAAGTGGAAAGCCTGTTAAATGTCCAGTGCTTCTAAACAGCTCTGAAAATGAGATGCTGTAGGATACTAGAACCAGTGATAATGGTACTTGTAGTGCACCGACAGTGAATAAAAGGTGCTAATCACAGAAGCATATTCCTTTTGATGGATAATAAGGAGTTTTTCTCAATGTCTGGCATGTATTGTTTTTATTTTAGTTGCTTTCATGCCCCCAAAACAGAAAAATACTGTAGATGAAAGACAGGCTATCCCCAGCTTAAAGTTTTTTTTTAATTAGAGGGATAAAAATTAAGGGTGTATCTTATACACATGGTAGTATGGTAATTTTGGCTTTGTTTCTTGTGTACATATTTCCTGTGTGAATTTAAATTTTATCTGCTTTCACATTAATCCGAAAATTATAGAACTATGGTCAGATTTGAATAAGTGGCAGATTTTTTATTAGCGGCCAGGCGAGTCACTAAACACTGGTAGTTCAACCTTTGTTCTTGATTTGAGAGGGACGGGCTGGCCGCATGGACATTTTCATAGTTTTCCTCATGTGAAATGTGGATAAGAGCCAGTTTTCTGTAGAAAGTCCTCCCTTCCCTTAGACAAATAGCTCGTAGCATGCTTTGCTACAAGTCTAATGAACATCTTTGTGCATAATGTTAGCATATGTTTGAGAAATGACTTGATAATTTTGTTCAGCCTGTTCAAATTCTTCAGATACAGTCTGAAATACAATGACTCAAGCTTTCTGAGTTTGTTTTTTTTTAGTATCATTGCTGAATGTTCATATATTACAAGTTTTCTCTTTACTTTCTTATATGTATTTTGATTTTCTGTTTCCTCTGTTAAGTTATTACTGTTAATAAAAAAAATTGAATACTTAATAACTGTGACATGAACTTGCAGTCAGAAATAACTTAAAGATATATATGAAAAGTGTAGTTCAATAATTTTATTCTGTTATTAATGTATATGTTGCTAAAACAAAATATTTGCTATTTAATTTCTTATATTTTCCCTTAAGTTTTGTTATTCTTCATAGAAGGTGTAAGTATATACATTGTTTTATTTCTAAACAATGTATAAAGTTTTATTCTGATCATAAATGCAAAATTTGTTTTACATATTATTTACATTCATCTCTTTCGCCGGAAAATAGGTTGCAGAAGAAAATAATGTTGACAGTTTTAATATAGAAGATGGTGATCTGGACTTGGAATTTGATATAAAAAATCTTATTCTGGATGAAAACATCGAAAATGTGAGTAACATTTCCTAGTTTTGCTTTGTGAAGTTGTGTTAACTTTACTAAATTTATGTTTTTGTTATTTCAGGAAGTCAACCTTGATGAAGACCTATTAAGTGAAGACTGATTTATACTAGCATGTACTTTAGACTTTGTATTAGAACTTTTGACTTCCAGAGATTGGGGAACAGCATATCCATTGCATTTAAAGCAGATACATGAATTGATGAAATTAATTTATTATACTTCAACTTAAATTGTTAAAATATTTTGCTTCTTATTTAGTACTCAGACACTTTGGATGTGTTTGGATGTGTTACTCGTCATATGAAAACTTGACTTGAAACTCCAGTGATTAGATTATTTATAAGTGACAGACATAAGTTTTTTGTTTGTAATTGTTTTCTAGAGTTTTGTAAATATACTTGATGCAACCTTTTATGTTATTTCTGTGAAGCCATATTTGACTGCAATGGGCCTGTAATATTTTATAAAAAGTGTTATTCAATAAAGATGCATTATTTCTAATAATATAGTTTTGTATGTTGTGGGTTGTTTTTCTTTCCATTTTCGTATTATTAATTAGACAGTGAGTTTATAATTCTTCTGAATGTTGTACTTCATAGTAATATATGTTGCACTGACTGTAAAAAAGTATAGAATAAAATGGTTTAGCTTAGAGTAGAGAAGCATTTAAATTTTGAATTGCAAATGCAAAACATTCTGTCTGCTAGTTAAATAAGGTAAACAGGACATTGCTTCTGTGATAGAAAATTCTTTTTAAAATATCCAGTGTTTCTGAAAGGAACAGTCATTAGTAATGGCTGTTCTGAATGCAGGTGGTGATTTTTCCTTGATCACTTATAGAATGAGCCAAAAGATGCCATCTAAAATGTTATTAAATGGCGCCAAGAATTACTCAAAAATGGCATTATGTACTCCCTTGATTTTATCCATGTACACATCAACCTATTTTCACTTAAAAAGTCAGAGAAAATTGACAGAAATCCAATTCTTCTTACTTTTGTAAAAAGCGCCAAACAAATAAGTGGGTGATTCTGCACTTTAGCGTAAAAATTAATTCTTGTTTTTTCTTTTTTTCCCTCCATGTCTTTTTATTGTGCTGGTAAATTTCTAACTGATCTCGTTTCAAGTTGAATGCGGTATTTTCATTTAGCTCATGTAGATTCATCAAGTTTTTTAAGAACCATGAACATTTATTCCTATGTGTTTAAAGGCTTTGCTGGTAAATTTTTGAGAAAATTTCAAGTAAAAATTAGCTTGTAAATCAGCCCCTCATGCCAGATGCGGCTGAAAGCTTTCACCACATCCAGCATGAGGATGGCAACATTTTGTCTGTGGTGTAAAGCATCACAGCAAAATTCCACGAACCTTACAAGCTGCTTGAAAGTATATAATTTGATAATTTACCATGACTACCACTGTGGCTAAATAGTCCATTCGCCTCGTGCTATCAGGTGACCTCCCACATTCAATTCTCTCAGTAATCGAATTGTACATATCGCAACATTACCAAACTTATTTAACTACGAGCTTAGTGAACTTTGAACTTCTTGTGAATTTATGCTCATGCAGAAATTAGACTTTTTAAGATAATCGAAAGATTCTTGAACTATGTTTGTGACCACGCCTACCTTGACTCTCCACCCAGTATTGAATGCCTGACTAATTCAAGTTGTGTATTTTGACCTTCGGGTGGGTACTAATGCACCTTAAATTTTAAACTACCGTGAACGGCCATCTAAGCATATGAGAATGAACTGATTAGAATTCAGCGTAATTGTACACCAGTGGTAGTATTGATCAGTGTCAGAGGCACGAGCCTCGGGGACAGGGTCGTCTGACCTTGTTGGTGATGCCTAGAGTCCCTCTATTGTCATCTCTTTGATCTTATCTTTTAAGTTGTATTCGGATGTACTTAGCTTTCTTTTAACTGTTTGTTCAATTAAAAGGTTTCTTGCCAATTTATTATAAATACTCTTAAAAGAGGTTTCTAAACCGGGCTTTAAAACTATTAATGTTGTATCAAAATTTGACAACATTCCAAATACGATCCAGCACTACGCTTGAATTTGCCACCCGGGACACAGACTCCGGCTTGCCCCTTTCCTGGATCTGAAACTGGTAAACTTTATAAGGTCCACCAGCGGCCTAGCGTTAAAGTTGCTGAACACTGGTAGTTCGTTTCAAGGTTCGAATCCCGTGAACGGGCTGGCTGCATGGCCGTTTTTCGTTGTTTTTCCCATGTGTAACGTGTATACAAGCAAGTTTTCCTTAAAAAGTCCTTAACGAAGGCACTCTCCACTCAAGCAGATAGCCCTCGAGGCTTTGCCATAATCACATAAACCGGAATCTGTAAACTTTGCAGGCTGAAAAAGCAATTCAAAATGGCGCTTCTGGAAGGCCGATGCAATTCGCACCAGCGGTACGATTAGCTGCTTCAGCTATTTGCACCAACATTAACCACGCATGCGCTTTGAGTTGTCGGATCCGTCATTTGAACCGTATCGAAAAGAAGGAATCTTAAGTACGTGAGTTGCCAAAGTCTGTTGTAGTGAGTCACTCTAAAAGGCCGGTTGCTACGTTCACGTAGTTTATCATTTTTTAAGCGTTAGCGACTTTCAAAAGATTAGAAAGGGAAATGTGTTCCCTTTCTTATATATGTAAAAAGAAAGAATACATTTCTTTTATTTATGTATATATAAAAAAGGGCAGATTTTTATGTTCACATAATCTATTCTAACCGTTTGTTCTCTTGAACGGTTGGAATAGTTTAAATGACTGATTGGGGGGGAGGACTAAAACCTCGTTTACATTTTTTTGTACTTCTTAGAATACATTTAGATTCAAATGTGTGTTTTTCACAATCAAGATTTTTGTTCATTCCTGTTTGTAATTTTTCGTATGAGAAAATGGACATTAAAAATTAGACCGAGTATGTCTGCGTAGAAAATTTAGACAGGACATAAGTTAAAAGCAATAAAATGAACTATTAAATTAACAATTTTGTATGCTTGTTTAATTTTTCTATTACTCTTCATTTTCAGAACACAAAAAGTATTTCAAAAAACTTTTAAATATTAGTACAAACACATTAATTAATTAAACTAAATAATGGGATGTAATTTAAAAGACAAAAATAATTTAATGTAAGAGATTTAGAATGATAAATTTGCACACGCAAATGAATTATCAAATTTTATAAGATTTTATTTCATAACTAACTTTGATTTCGAAATATGTCATTTGAACATATAAGCATGTGTGGACAATGAAAACGTAATGGACATAATAAGAATTTTCAATACGTTTTCATATTCAATAATAAATTCTGGCAGTTCTATGCTTTCTAGGGTCTAAGTTTGCATAAAAATGTCTGTGTTAAATAAAAGAATTTAAATCTTTGTGAATATGAATAAAACTGGTTATGATGACTGTTTATGAATATGTCCTTTTTTACATTAAAATGTAACATATTTGTACAGTAACGTTTCACGATGTTTATGACCCTCGTAAATTTTTTCCGTTCTCATTTTAATCCAAGCAGCAAAATTTTGATTTTTCATATAGTTCTTTTGCTCCTTCAAATTCAAAGTATATGGGAAACTTGTGTCCATACTCAAATTTCAAGAAATTTTTGTCACATCCATCGTCGTCAAGTTATGTCAAACAAATGACACGTAAATTTCTGTTACACTAACTAAAAATTAATTAACAAAGAAATGTCATTCAAGGGAGATAAGCAGAAACTGTTACCAAACCTAGCTAACACAGAGTTAGGGTAAAAACACTCCATCTGCCTTACGGCATAAAATGGCTGTACCTGGGCTGATTGTGCGCATGTGCTGACATAGGTGGTGCGATTAGCCTAGAGCCGTGGGGCCCACGCCCCAAAAGGGGGCAATGTGACTGTTAAGGGGGGCAATGCAAAAATGGACTCGTCCAGAGTTTAAGTGGACAACGGATGTTCTAAATATGTTTCATGAAGTCAACATTTTTTGAAATTTCATTTTTTATTCCTCAAAATATAGAAAAATCTAAGTGATGTAAATGCTTTTAAAGGCGTTTAAATAACTGACACATTATGCTTTCCAGACGTGTCTCGCACATTTCAGCCAATGAATTTATTTTATTTTTTACTGTAGGAATGGCAACCGGTACATTATTATTTCCTTGAATGGCAACACTAGTCCGTCACAATTATGTACAGACAAACGCCAAATGTGTACGGAAAAGTGTGCCGTGACGTCTTGGGCTTCTGGATGGGTTACAATATTTGGCTTTTTATCATTTCGCGGTGAATTATGGCAAAGATTAACAATTTATCGTGCGATGTAACAAACATCGAAGATTTCTTGTTAGGGTGCAAAGTTGTTGTAGTCAAAGAATATCTTAGAGATTCGTTGGTTGTAGTGTTCGCTTATTAATAAATTTCTTCTGGTGGTAATTCAGTTAAAATCACTGACAAAAGTTTGATAGAACATGTGAGAACTTTCATTGCAGTGTTCTTTGAATGAACATTTATTTCCTGCTAAACATGTTATAAATAAATGAACAAAACAATCTCAATTTTTAATATCTCTGTTAGCACTTCATATAATTTTTTTTGTGGTATGAAACAATTTTGTGCATATTGATTTAAAACTATTAACATAAGATACAAAACTGAATTTTTTTTTTTTTTTTTTTTTTTTTTTCTTCTTACGAAAGCACTGAAACTGTTTAATTATAAAAACTATTTTAATACTGAATTTTGAACGCACTATTTTAATACTCTGAATTTTGAACGCATTTTTTTTCTGTTGATAATTTTTAGTTATCGTAAAATGACTGTGCTTTCGCATAATTTTAACATCATTTGTGAAGTGAATGACACTAAATTTCAGATGTGATGATTTTTTAAATTGTTTCTGCCTCTGAAATAAAAATTTATTCTAATGTTTTGCGAGTTTTAAGTGTATCAAAATGTCAATGTTCCATCGGCACTTGTGCAGAAACATGGGAAATTGACTCATCGTTTGTTGTAATTATTATTTTGTCATTTAATGTGAGCAAATGTTGCAATGTATTTGATTTTTTCCTTGATGAATTTGAAATTATGAAAAAAATAACGTATGGTGTAGATGATGACAGAAATTTTTAATGAATGAATTTAGAAACTGTAAGATGAAAAGAATTTTACCTTGATCTGATTCACAACTGCATGTCACAAAACACTTCCATAAAGTATGCCGAAGTTTTATTCCTTGCAAAAACATGATATCTATTATTCAAGTTTGTGATCAGAGAATTATTATAGAGCAATGAAAGAATATGATCTTCGTGAGGGAGCTGTATTCTTCATAATGAGGAAAATTTGGAATTTTATTCCTTGCAGAAAACATTGATATCTGTATTCCAGTTTTGCGATTAAGGAATTTTTATAGAGCAATGAAAGAATATGATCTTCGTGAGGTGAGCTGTATTCTTCATAATGTGGAAAATTTGGATGAAAGTGCAAATGAATTAAT